GGGTGTGGGTGGGGGGGGGGGGGGGGGGGGGGGGGGGGGGGGGGGGGACCAACTGCTGTCGGTGGTCAGTCTCACAGGTTTCCACCATAAGGTCGAAGTAAAAAAGTATAGATTTTAACAAGGCTAATGCTAATGGTGGAGCTAACATTTGTCACTGTCTTTGGTTTGTACGAACTCATTCAGCTACTGCGCAGTCGCAGAGGCGTCGCTAACGCAAGAAAACCACGTAGCATCGCCGTGTTCCGTCACTGCTGGTCAACGACGACCTAACGATGATTTACTGTGTCACAGTCACTACTTCAAACTACTACAGTTTTTCATTGATGTATGTATGACGTTCGTCTGCATAAAAACCTGCAAAGTTTCCTGCCATAAATCATAAAAAAAAACCTTTGAACAGAATGAGTGTAAATGTATGGATTTACTGGTCGTGGTCGAAGAACTCAGCGAGAGACTCGCCCAAATAGTTATGGAATCTGTTTTAGTTCCAAACTGTGGCGTTCCGTTCACGTAAAACATTTTCAATCCAGGCTGGAACGACATCGTTTCCAGTCGCGATGGGATTTTCTGGTTACGTCTCAATAATGACCTCGTAAATCTCTGCCTGTAAGAACGCACAGCTTCTTTTTTTTTTTTTTTCATCTCTGTTCTTTCTCTTCTCTACATTAAACTCTAACCTCAGTGTCTCCCTTCGCAGGAAGTCCCCGTGCTTCAGCCTCGGCCCTGCACTTCTCTTCTCCCTCCATCATTCAGCAGTCGAGCCCCTACTTCACCCACCCAACCATTCGCTACCACCACCACCCTGGACAAGACCCGCTGAAGGAATTTGTGCAGTTTGTCTGTGCTGATGGCCCGGGGCAGGCCGCCGGACAGGTGAGGCCCGTCGGACAGGACTGTGTCGGGTTTGAACACGTAGCCAACGGTGGAACTCTCCGACGATGGTCCACTGTAACTCATCATTAACTAGAATGTTACCTGTAACTAACTGTTAAACCTGGGACATTCCATCTTCACTCTAACTCTGTTAAATGACAACAACAGTTTATAAACACACCACAGATGAACACTAGGGCGTGCTGTTGATACTGTCTTGTCTTCTGTCATTTTCCATGTTCCTCGTTTCAGACCCTGACGTTCCTCTTCTTTGACCCCCCTTTTATTTTATTCCGTTT